TTATTTTCGTGAACTATTAGTACTTAAGTATGTAAATTTTCTCTTCTCGCCTTCTGTCGATACACGTGGTCCTTCTCGAAACTTGTTTCAATGTTGCCAGATCGCGACGCTTCTGCTTCTGATGTTGCCGAATGTTTTTCCCTTATTCCATACTTGCTTTATTCTTCATAAGTGCTTAGCACCACATAAGGAAATTTATAAAGATCTTTTAACTAAAAGCAAGCAATCTAAAGTAACATATTTTTTGCAAAAGGTAGAGCATGGATCTGAAGATAATGCAGAAAAATGCTCAGAGGATAAGGATACCTTGCCAAAAAGAAAATACCCTCTATTAATAGTGCTTAGTGATGACAAAGAAAACGTTATTTAATTTATATTAATATGTATTGCTTAAGAAAATTTAAGAAATAAAGATATTTATCTTAATTATGAAAATATAATAACATGTTTTTTTAATTTTTGGAACCTAATCCCCCCTTTTTTACTAGTTCTTTGTTTCATATAACATGGATTTGCATAACACTGCAATATTTTGGAACATAACTCCCGTGTTATACAGGGGTTACCTGTATAGTAAATTTATGTAATAATGAATTTTAATGTTTGCAAGTGTGTTCTAAGTTACAGTTGAAGTCATATGACATGAAAAAATGGAGAGAAATGAATACTATTAAGAAACCATTGGGTGATCTTGTTACCTCAGATAAGGGAGCATGATGCAGCAATCCCAAGGGTGATCTCTTAAGCAGCTTGACTGTATATCTGGCCAGTTTAATATTAATAATGCAAATCTGTACAAAAATAATTCAAAATATAAACATTCTAATATAATCTTTTTCTATTTTTAAATATATTTGTATAGATTAATGTATAAACTTGAAGATAGCCTTTTTAAAAAGCTGAAAATATTAGTTACAAAGAATTTTGATGGTAATGAAAGTTTAATTAGATGATAACAACATACAGCTTGTGACTTCAATCAAATTTTATATTTAATTTATTGTTTGGAACAGTTTATCATGAATATTTTTAATATCTTTTAGCAACTTATTATATACAAAATATGTAGAGTCAAATAGGTTATTTTTGATTAATTTAAATATAGTGTATTTAAATATTTTCAAGAAAAGTGTTTGTTTCTTTGAAACTTACAAATACATAGTTTTATATATAAAACAAAAATTTAAATATGAAAACTATCCAAAGATTTTAATAATAGTTATTCTTTTTTCACATAAATCATTTATCATTTAAATTTATCTTAGTCTTTATAAATTAATTTTTTTATTTCTTATCTAAACTTTAAAATATTCATTTACTTCAAACTACTTTTTGAAATTGAATGTATTTTAATTGAATTCATTCAAAAGAATTGACTTTTGTATAGCTCATGTTATATAATACATATAAAAAATTGAGTAAATTTAAAAATAGCTTTAAAGGAGTAAACAATTAAAAGACTGGTTGTTTTTATAAATTATCAATTTAAGTTAATTCTCTTAATGCAATGTCACTTAAAATATAATTGTTTTTTCTTTAAATCCAAAATTTAAGTTAAAGTGCATCATAGAGCCACTTAGATATACAAAGAATACTGTTTAAAAATATGTTTATAATGTTATAATTGCTAAATCAAAAAATACAGTAAATGGTCTAGATTAAACTTACTTGCAAATTGTAAAATAAATTTAGTTAGTTTCATAACTTTTTTTTATAGATTCTAGAAAACATATCCTATAAATAAAAAGCAAATATAATAAATACACCCATACCTCGCTTTACGGCCTAGATACGTTCCACAAAATTTGGCCGCAAAGCGAAAAGCCGTATAAGGAATCAATTATTCTAATACAAATTCATACTAATTCAATGGGATCGGTTCCATATTTGTTAAATATGTAACATGGTTTATCATTCAAAATGCATTTTATCTTTTTATTTCATTTAAATCAAAAATACATACATAAGAAGTACATACATTTGTACATAAAATAATAACAGACTCCAAAAACCAACAATAATCTATAAACAAGAATGAAACAACTTCATGTTACATAAAACATGTGTATGTTTACATACATAATTTTTTTAAAAAATGGCTTTAATCTGAAGACGACGAAGAAATGGTAACCTGCAGATCACTGTCATCATCATTTTTCGCTGGTAAGGATGGGCCTGGCTTAAAAATATTGTCCACTGTTGTTTGTCTTGCCTTCTTGTCTGTTTCATTCTTCAGTGATTTATAACAGCTAATGGCTGAATTAATTCCTCGAGAAACTTTAGCGCTACGTTCGACATCAGGATCGTTTTCAAGGAGGATGTTTATTCCTTGTTCGAAAGTGGAAAAAGCTTTTGACAAATTTTTTGATGTTAGCTGTTTGGATACAACAGGCTCTGTCTCTTCATCAAATGCCAGTTCTGCTTGCAACTGAATGAGTTCCTCATATAAAAGGGGTTCTCTATTAGCTTCAAGTAGATCAAGCACATCATGTTCGTTCAAATCTTCAAAGCCGCGATCATGTGCTAGATCCAAAATGTTTTGCCTGATTTCAGGAAGGAAATTAACTTCTGCATCAGTACTTTTTACACATTCTGGCCATATTTTTTTCCAAACATGGTTCATTGTTGTTAATTTTAATTCCTTCCATGATTCACTGATGCTGTCAACAGCATCCTTGATGTTATAGTTTTTCCAAAATGTTTTAATTGAAGATTTACCATCAGTTTCCCTTATAAGTTGTCGGAAAGTTCGGCATAGGTGATATGCCTTAAAAGTAGCTATTGCACCCTGATCCATTGGTTGGATCAGAGCTGTTGTATTTTTCGGAAGGTACCCAATCATGATATCTTCAGATAGTTCGGATAAATTAGTAGGATGCCCTGGTACATTATCCAAAATTAGCAAAGCCTTGTTGCTTAAGTTATTGTCTCGCAAATATTTTTTCACTTCTGTACAAAAGTGATTTTTGAACCAATTCTCAAAAGTAGCTTTAGTCATCCAAGCTTTCTTGTTGGATCTCCATATGACGGGTAATTGATTTTTATTTAGTCCTTTAAGAGGCCTTGGATTTTCGGACAAATATATTAAAAGTGGTTTTAGCTTAAAATCACCTGCAGCATTTGCACCAAGTAGCAAAGATAATCGTTCTTTAGACACCTTATAACCAGGTGCAGATTTTTCGGTTTTTGAAGTGTACATGTGATCAGGCATTCGCTTCCAATAAAGCCCTGTTTCGTCTATGTTAAACGTCTACTGTTTTGTCAGGTTTATAACCACCTCTTTCAATAATTCCCTTTAAAATGTTCGGATATTCCTTAGATGCAGCCTCATCAGCGCTAGCTGCTTCACCTTTCATTTTCAAATTATGCAAATAAAATCTATTTTAAAATTTTTCAAACCATCCTTGGCTTGCTTGGAATGTGACATCTTCAGCAGATTCATCGGTATCTCCATTCTTCAAATTTTCGAAAATACTTAAAGCTTTTTCCTGGATAGTCATTTGACTCATTGGCATTCTCCATTTGTTATTGTCCTCAATCCATATAATCAATAGTTTTTCCATTTTTTCCATAATCCAGTTTCTTTGGCGTATTAATCTCGAGACATTTAAAGGTGCAGCAGATTGCAAATATGTTTTAATATTTTCTTTTTTATCGCGAATAGTTTGAATGGTAGATTTCGCAAGTCCCATTGCCTTGCAAATTTCAACAAGTTTCTCTCCAGCTTCTATACGACGTAATACTTCTAGTTTAGTTCCTAGCGTTACTGATTTTCAGCATCTCTTTTTATCAGTCTCCGAAGTCGATAATCGTTTCAGTGGCATTTTGTCTAAAAAATAATGAAATTATAAAATACGTTTAATAAAAAAATACATATTAAAGTTTTTTAATTTGTACATACATACAATGTACTTAGGTACCAAAAATGTCCCTAATTGTTTCCAATTTTTCCAGTTAATGTGTAACAATCAGTAATAAATATGTACATAAAACACACACAGACAAGTCTAAACCAGCCGCTTTATGAGCACACATTGAATAACGCTCGTAAACAAGAGGAAATAGAAAAGTGTGTGCATCGAGATTGCGCTTGCGCAAGATTGGCAACATGTAGATATATCAACATCGGAAAAAAGTTTTTTTTGCCGTTATAGCGAAACATTTTAGGCCGTAAATCGAAAACGTGCCTTAATTGAAGAGGGCCGTTATAGCGAAATGCCGTATAAAGAGCGGCGTATAGCGAGGTATGGGTGTAATCTTACATTCTTAAGTACAGTTAAAAAGACTACTCGGCATCTAGTTTGACTGTTCTTTCTTTAGATTTATGTATGGTTAGATGCATTAGTCAATTACCTAACTGCTGGAGGATACCCAAAAGCAAATTTTACGTGGCCTGTTGACTGTCATATCATAGGCAAGGACATTTTAAGGTAAATTAAACTTTTCTATATATTCATTGTTATTAATAAATTAGTAATGTTGTCTTTTTGTATTTTTATTAAGATTCCATGGTATTTATTGGCCTGCATTTCTGATAGCTGCAGGATTAGAGCCTCCTAGATCTGTTTTATGCCACTCTCATTGGTTGGTTAATGACGAAAAGGTAAAACAATATAAATAATATTTTTAATTAAATTGTAATATACCAATTGTAAACAAATAATAAAATATACTTTACAGATGTCTAAGAGTAAAGGCAATGTAATTGATGCGCAGGAAATTATTTCAAAATATAAAGGGGACAGTTTACGTTATTTCTTACTAAGAGAAGCAACTCTTCCTTCAGATGCTAGTAAGGTTTATTGCTTATAAAAAATGTAAAAGGAGGATTTCTACTTTTTAATGAAACTTTAATTTTTAGATTACAATGAAGTTAAACTGCAAAGGACTTTGAATTCCGAACTAGCTAATACTTTGGGAAACTTGTTATCGAGATGTTCGGCTCCAGCAATAAATAAGAAACAGATCTTTCCACAGTTTCATCAAGAAAAATGCTCTGAAATGGGGAATGATTTAATTAAATCAGTACTTTCTATGCCAAGTTAGTATTAATGTGTTAATTGAATAAAAATATTTTTATATACTAATTTAATTATTGTTTTAACAGATGTTGTTAAAGAAGATTTTTTAAAAGGGAATTTCTATATTGGCATAAATAAAATTATGGATTGTTTACACAAAACTAATGCTTTTGTAGAACATCAAAAACCATGGGAACTTGCAAAATCAGAAGAAAAGTGTTATGAGTTAGATACTGTATTACATATTGCACTTGAAACATTGAGGATAAGTGGAATTCTTTTACAGCCAGTAATTCCAAATATTTCAAATATATTACTTACAAAATTAGGAGTAAGTATCAAGGACCGTATGTGGACACATTTAGAATGTTTTCCACACATTAATAATAATTTACATAATCTAAGTGGAAAAAATTTAGGAAATGAAAAAGTGATATTGTTCAACAAGATAAAAATGTAATTTTTTTATATGTATAGAATAAAAATATACTTATGCAGTCTTTGCAATATTTGTTCAATATTATAACATTTTACTAATAAACCCTTTTTAACAGTTTTGCAGACAATGAGATAATACGTAGACTTTTCTTGGCTCATACGAAATAATCTAGTAAAAAAAAAACTTTTAAAAATTTGTGAGGGGTTGAGCCACCCTCATGATATACCTCACTACAATGCATTTACATCTAAAATATGATTTATTAATGACATCACCGATTAAATTTTACTTTTGATAAATTTTTGATGGATTGATATTTTAGATCTACATTCTGCATATAAAGGCATTGTAGTAAAGTGGAATGGGCCACCCAAACCTCACTACAATGCATTTATACACACATCTAAAATATCCATGTTCAATTGATATTACTGATGAATTCTATATTTGGTTATGTTTATTTTGTTTTGGGGTGGGACCACTGCCTAAAACACCTTAAGATATATTGTCATCACACTTAAAGGCTGAAACTTTGAGGATATACTTATCTTAAACACCTTCTCCTCAATTTCTAAAGGACATATCTTCATAAGTTGATGAAATTTGAATTGCAAGATTTAAGGACATGATACACAGCAAGTTAAATAAAAGCATTTAAAAAATTAAAACAAAAATAAAATCATTAAATAATACTGTATATGACTTTTCAGATTCTTATTGGTAAATGTTTTATCATGTATATATCATTATCAATGAGAAGTTTGATATTCAAACACCTGTTATCAAAGAATTAATAATACTTATATAATAAACATCAGCATGGATAATCAAAAATACAAGAGTAACTTTAATTCATTTTTTTTATTTCATTATGTTAAGAAACTCCAACATATTGAAATTTTTGGGATTGACATTTTTATATTTGGAACATTTCAAAATATTGAAAAATGTTTTGAGTGTGACAATTGAATTATTTAATAAGCTATGAAGGTACACTTCGTTCAATGTTCATCAAGTCTTGGAAAAAAAGAAATAGAACATGGTGGTTTTCCGTTGCCTTCCATGCTCTTCTAGTTCCTTTGTTCTTTCTAAAACCAAATTGTGTATCATTTAGCAGAACTAAATGATACACAATTTGGTTTTAGAAAGAACAAAGGAACTAGAGAGGCCATTACATTAATTAGACTTATTGGAGAAAAAATGATTGAAAAAAACAGAGATCTTTATCTGTGCTTTGTGGACTATGAAAAGGCGTTTGACAATGTTAATCACACAATTTTATTTGAAATACTTCAAAAAATTGGAATAGATAAAGGGATAATTAAAATTATTCTCTTTTTATACAAAAATCAGAAAGCAATAATAAAAATTGATGAGAAAGAATCCAACTGGATAAGGGTGGAAAAAGGAGTGAGACAGGGATGCGGACTTTCACCACTGTTATTTAATATTTACAGTGAGTGGATGATGCGAGAAGCACTTGAGGATTTTAACGAAGGAGTGAAAATCAATGGATGCTTAATAAACAACATAAGATACGCTGACGACATAGTCCTGCTGAGTGAAAGTAAAGAGGGATTACAGAAAATTCTGAATCGACTGTTCAAAACTGGATTGGAGAAATTCCATATGAAAATAAATGAAAAGAAGACAAAAGTAATGAAGGTTTCAAAGAAGGAAGATATGGAGGAATTCCAGATCATTCTGGGAAATAAGGAACTTGAAAGGGTTAAAAAGTTTGAATACCTGGGAAGCTGGATAACAAGTGATAATAGATGTAAAATGGAAATTAAAAGCAGAATTAATAAAGCAAAAGCTGCCTTTTATCAGATTTATCATATATTAACAAACAGAGGCCTTAACATAAAACTGAAAATAAAAATCCTAAGGACAATGATCTGGAGTGTACTAACATACGGATGTGAGGCATGGACTCTTACGCATGAAATGATGGAAAGAATTAACTCATTTGAAATGTGGTGCTTGAGAAAGATGCAAAGAATAAGTTGGACGGAGAAAATAACAAATGAGGAAGTTTTGGACAGGCTGGGCTTGAGGAGAAGGTTGCTTATAAATATCCAACAAAGAAAGGTACGATATGCTGGACATTTGGCTAGAGGATCAGGAGGACAACTACTAAAGACGGTGATTGAGGGACTGGTGGAGGGGACAAGACCTAGAGGAAGACCCCGAAAGACTTGGAGAGATAACATCAAAGACTGGACTGGAAAGGATTTAAGAGAAGCCTGGAATAGAGAAACATGGAGAGGAATAGTTCATCAAATGCAACCCTCTGTAGAGAGGATGCCACTGGATAGATAGATAGATAGAAGGTACACTATGTATTTTTTTACAAATACATAAACTTTATTAACATTTAATATGAAATCTATATTTTTTCATATGTTTTATGCAAATTTTTTAAAATTCAAAACACTAATAATGTTCCAAGTTTTTAAAAATAAATAAAATATTTCAAAAATAATCAAAAAACTTATGAATATTCAAATTGAGCAAAACCTTGGTAGTTTTCTGCTTTGGCATGAAATCAAAAACTACATGAAAATAAAATTTTTATAAAATTAAGTGCTTTTAATAGTTTCAGATTTGATATAACCAGAATAATTTTTATCCTTTATTACTATTGAAATTCACAAAACTGACACTTCATTTTCTGCATAAGTCATATATGGGTATAGTACCATAAGTGGCTGACACTATTATTGAGAAAATGTAAAATTTATATCATTATATTCAACACATTTTATTTGGGACCAAAAGCAGATATATAAAATTCCAAAAAGTTACATAAAATAGCAAATTTTTGATTGGTCCAATTTTCAAATCCATTTTCTGAAAATTACAGTTGCAGTTAGTCACTTACAGTTCAATATTCATGATATACAATATTAGCTACATCCAAGGGCAATAATTTAATTTTTGAAAGTAAGTTTATAAATGGTTTTAAATCATGTGATGTTCTCAGACTGAGTGCAAAAATATAATCAATCACTTAAAATATATTTTCATGACTGGTTAAGATTTATTGCCACAAATACCGTTTTGGCTTTGCTAAACTGCTTTATGGTAGAGAAAATATTTTTTCAAAATCATACTTTGTTAATCTATAACAACAGAAAAATTTATAAAATAAAAATTAAAACAATGGGATCGGTTATTGTATACATTAAAATAATTCTAAAAAATTGTAAATTTTAAGAATGAACAAGTTAAAATCACTCTTTTTTTTTATCCGACTTCTAGAAATTTAAACACAGAGATGGATCACAAATTGAAATTAATAATTATTTCTTACTTTATTATCCATATGCATTTTGCCTGTTAGCCTATCAGTGGTTTCTATATGGATAATAACGTAAGAAATAATTATTAATTTCAATTTGTGATCCATCTCTGTGTTTAATTTTCTCAAAGTCAGATAAAAAAAAAAGAGTGATTTTAACTTGTTTATTCTTAAAATAATAATTCTAAAAAATTGTAAATTTTAACAGAAAAATTTGTTTAAAAAGTTGTATAGTGAATGGGTTATAATGTATTCTGTACATTTATAATATTCTGAATATACAATAAGTACAGTAGAACCCCTCTAATCCGTCACCTTTGGGACTGGGGGTATGGTCGGAACACAAAAAAGTTCGGATTATCAGAAAAAAGTAAAATAAACAATCTTCCCTTTGTCCAGTCTTTGTAGCACTGCTAATTTTTCATTTAATGAAAGAGTAACGTATTTACGTTTCACTCCTGACATGTTGAAAACACACACAATGTAAAACATATAATGTAACGAACACAGAAGAACGCCACGGACGGTGAGTCGGTACAAGTTTCTCAACTGTGACCACTGTTGGATTAACCAGAGTGATGGACTAGAGGGGTTCTACTGTAATGTCAAAGCTTTAATGATAACTTTGTCTATTATTTTAGCATAATGCCATTCCAAGTTACTGTATCTATAATTTCAATCAGTTAAATATATCTAAAAAAAAAACCATTCCATTATCAAAGTTGTATAAAAATCAAAATTTAAAAATTTCTTGTCTTTCTTTGTATATACACAAAAGTGAAATTTTCTAGGTGTTTTTGAGGATGTCTTATTTCAAAGCTACACCGACTGTAGTATAATATCAGCGATAATAATTTTGAATTACTGATTAATTTGTATCTAGAGGACGACATAATTATTAAATTTAATAAGAGATCACACCTAACGCCTCCCTCTAGAGACAAATCAATCAGTAATTCAAAATTGTGTTTATTATATGGCAGATGGTGTAGCTTTGTTATAATGTATCTGGTTTTGTAGGACGTTTATAGATGCCTGTTATTTATAGTTTTTTCCATGCTTCATACTTTAAGAATTTTAAACTATAATTTTTGTCATAAGTTTAAAGAATTTAACAAAACTCTTATGTAAAATTAATAAATACTTGACTTACCCAATAAATATCAAAAGTGAATATATTAATATATTACATATAATATGTATACTGTATATATATATATGTAATAAATTGTAATAATTATTATATTTGTCAATCATTGTAAATCATGATTTTGTACCAAAAGTTTAAGGTAAATAAACTGATGGTCATGGTGATAAAGACATTAGGTGCTGCTATGAGGGATTCAGATTGGGAATTTTTCATGGATGAATCTATCCTGGATGTGTTTTCCCTCATCCTCTCTCATTGCCAGCCATTCCTTATTGTGGGCTTGGCCAAACTCATGATAGAAAGGGAAAAAGCTGTAGTAATGCCAGGGATCACTCTGGAAAATGAAAAAAATATTGCCAATCACTTTACCAGTTTTAAATTTTTTCACCACTCCAAATTATTTATTACAACCAGTTTTACTTAATAATTAATGCAAGTGCTGGTAGCCTTACCAGTTTGGAGTCTGGAAAGCAAAAGTAATGTTAAGATGTCATTTAGAAATATATCATTTTTGAATAATTTTGAATAATAATTGATCACAGCGCTTAAATAGTATTTCACAGGTTCTGTCATATTAAAATTTTTCGCTTTAGCTGAA